AAGGGGTAAAAGGCATAGAAGGGAGGAGGGGATGTTGTATAACCTTTTTTGAAAACTGATTTTTTTTAAAGTGTTTTTTCAAGTTTTTTTTTTCTTTTTAAAGAAACTGATACTCCCCAAAGCTGTGCTGGGCGCTGTGATCAGATAAGCATTCGTCAGAAGACAACACAACTCCTCTGTAAGAACAAAACATATTAAAACCTGGCTGCAAATAAAACTTTGCAGAACTGCTTAAGGATGAGTAGTAGCAGTACTAGTGGTATTAATAATAGTAGTAGAGGAATAATAGACAGTTGCTATTTTAACAGTCCTGCAATGATAGTGAGTATAAACACTCAGAAAAAGGTAACAGTGGAGTTATTGTTCCTTTTTGTTACTGAGCCTGCACCTTTGTTAGAATCAAAATGTACCTTCCTTTTCTGAGAGGTGATCTTAAAATCTGTTCCCTGGAGTTGTATAAGTTGATGCTGAGTTTTCTGAAGTAAACTCAACCAAACAGTCATTAAAAGTAAACTTGCCAATATTTGGTTTGTCCCATTAACCCTCATAACTGATGTCACTGTAACCCCAGGTGTACAGAAAGGCCTGTATTTTGGGTCTGTAACTGCACAAATACATTTCCTTCCATCGTGAACCCCTGACTGACAAAAAAGGGAATATTGCATGTAATTGTTTAGTGATACAAAAAGTGAGAACAATCCTGCAGAAATAATTTAATTATTTGTGATGTTTTAAAAAAAAAAAGACATCTGGACGGTGGCCAGGGGAGGGGTTATAGCGAGACAAGACATCCCACTCTTAAGTTAAGTCAAATGCTTGTAGTGCTAAAAAGTAAATTTCATGAGTTCGGTCTTTTTGGGATCAATTTCTTGTGTTTCATTAGGAACATTTGTTCTGGATTTCTGCAGGACACTTTCCAAATAAAGAAAGAAAAAAAACTTCAAACAAGACTGAACTTCATAAACTGGCAAACACAGATTACAATAATTTTGATTCATTTACAATCGGAAGATCAATGAACATGGACTAAAGATGGATCTTTCCTGATATGCCACAAAAACAAACAAACAAACAAAAAGACACGTTTCGACTCACAAGAACTGAACTGATGGACAATCCAACAATCTCACCAAGCAGTATGGGATGGTCATTCACACTATGATTTTATTTTGTGAGTCGTGATACCATCATTTCAATGGACGTAAAAAATTGTTTCTATTACTGAAACATTCATTTTCCAATCATCAACAAACATCAAGAACTTAAATCTTTGGCGTTAATGTGTTTTGAAGGGTGGGGGGGGGGGGGGGGGGGGGGGGGGATGGTCAAACGGCAACTAAAACAACCCTTCAAACTGTAACTCCTTTAAGCTCTATATACATATAAAGATATATCATATATATGACAGCTCTGTAAATGTTACTCTGGATGCATACGCAGACATCACCAGTAAATGTGTGCAATTTCAGTCAAGCCCTATGTGACAATCGAAACACATCTGAGAAAAGTTTCAAATGGCACCTTCTTCCCTCCCAAAGTAGCTCTACATTTGCCTGTAACAAATACTGTACATACTCTACAAACCTCATCCCTGCTCACCAGAAAACAAAAGGGAACTATTTGCTTTTTAAATTTTTTCTTTAATAAATGTATCATTTTATATAAAGACATTCAACAGTGAGCAATGCAATACAGTTCAAGTAATAGACTTAGGGATGTTTGAGTTCCCTATGCAAAACACAAAAGTCTGGTAACAGGGAAAAAAACTAAAGAAACAAAAACCTAGACCGTATGTTGACTGAGGGGAAAGAAAGACCATGACATCCATTTGGTGACGATGCTGCATCTAATTATGGGAACCGATGACGTACAAGACTGTTACAGGTAGGACATTTTAAAAAGTCAATGTCATGGGCCTACATTAATTGATGAGTGACTGAAGTATCCATGCACAAAAACCCTGATTTAACCTGATTTTTTCCCCTCAAAACGCTGGCTTTGTTGTGTGGTAGCTTCTACGGTAAACTTGGAAAAAAGACCTGAGGGTTAATGACCAGAAACTATGATCAAAAAAGTCGTCCGAATTAAATGGGCCTGCATTCCCGATAGCACCTTGAGAGTTAGCAATAGTATGTGTTGATTTTAGATAAACGTGACTGAGGTGCTTCGGATTAAAAAAACACACTGGACCAACCTTGCTGTACATTCAAGATTATACTGACAAACCCCATGAAAAAGCAAAGATAACCTGTGACTTAATCCAAGAAAGCAAAGCTCTGAGGCCGTGTCCAGTTCAGAGGCTCATTTGAAAAAGGGAAGGCTAAACCTGCACCTCTGCAAAAAAGCATTTGCAGATGATTCACCACAGTGTCATTGTAAATTCTCACAATATGGCCATAATAAGATTAGAAAATTAGCTTGTGTATACTTACGGACAGTAAACAAAAACACTGATACCAAACAAAAACAATAAGATGCAAAAAAATAAAATTAAAAAAAAATCTAAAATCTCATTAAATTGATACAGTTGCAAAACTGCAAAATACATAGTTTGCAATAGAACTGGAAGCCCAACAATCCAAAGATCTACAGAAACGCACATATAAGCCTGAGAAACTCCTTCCCACTGCAGCAGTGTCTTAAAACTTGTATATTACAAGAAGCCCCTGAAACAGGACACAGCTAATCTCCCTAAATTCTTCATGCTGCAAAAGTTACGTTGGGTTTCTACTTATGGCTGCTATTCTTAACTGAACTGGAAAACTCGGGCTGATAGATCAAGTAAATTTGGCACCAATTTTTTGAAGTGGTCTGTCAGACATGACATACGATTTAGCAGTTGAGCCAGTTTTTGTGTAACTTTTGAGCCACACTTCTACAGGTCTAGAGCAGTGAGTTCTATATACACTTCCATTTTATTCTATTAGGACTACTTGTGAATTTGTGTGGAAACTAAACAGACTTGCAGTCTTAAGAGATTTACTGAAGCAGGTTTACACCTTCTTGATAAGCCTTAGAACAGGTCAATTTAGATTTAATACTGCCACACCGATTCATCCTGTAGTTTACAAAGAAGAAAGAGAAACTTTCACTACCCATGGCTTTCAGCTCCACAAACCTCACTTCTCCCAGTTCATCTACCTATTGTCAGCAGACTAGTGGGCTGTAATGGAGGGAGGGTTATGGTAGATAACAGTGAGCAGACTCCAATAGGTTGTAGAAGACATAGAGATGACTGGAGATAAACACACAGTGGGCACAAACAAGGCTTTATGATTTCTTCACAATGATTCCTTTGCACTTTCCAAACAATAGCACTCTTTCTAAAACTGGACACTTTCTCTCTGTGCGTTTGTGGCCAAGCTTATCAAAACTGGGAAAATCTTAAAGATGACAATAAGAGAAAGGGGTGCTTTATCTAACTTTTTTTTTTATTATTAGATGCTCTTTCCAGTTTAAAAAAAAAGGCTAATGCCTAACCAGTGTGATTAGTTTTAAGTTGTTTAGTTTTGAGTTGAGAATCACATCTCTGCTTTTTCTTAAGCATTCTCATAACCTTTGATTTCATTACGACCTTTTAAAAGCTCCATATTATCAGTCAGGCAGCGATAAGTCAACTTGATCACTATGAGAAGATGCTTTACTGTGCTGTGTATTCATTTTCTGGGGGGAATAGAATCTAACTTGGTCGTGTATTGTAGCTCTCAGTGTTTGAAGATATTTTTCTTTTTATCGAGTCGTTGACAGAAAATGGATCCACTGGTTAGAAAGTCACGCAGAGAGCATGTCGTTTGGGTTCAAATAAAAGCCAAACACTATCAGCAATCAGACAGAAAGGGAATTTCACTCCAACAGCTTAACTGTGATTATCTCCAACTTTAGTGCATCTCACACTAACTGCTGAACTACATTAAACACAAAGCTAGATTGCACGTTCTTTCAAGTTTTCAGATTTTCTTCTAAAGCCTGTATCTTCAGCTCAGGACATGGACTTTGTGTGCCTGTGCTCCTTATACATAAACATTTAGTAAAAGCTTATTTTTTCTGAAGGCGTTCAAACAAAAACACCCCAGTTTTTCAGCCTGCAGTCACATTGCATTAGCTCTTTTCTTTGTTTAAACCACACATAAAATGGGTTTCGGCTTTTATGGCAACATTTTTCACCAAGCTTAGCCTTTCAAAGGCTGGAAAAGGAACCCTTTACCAGTTTACCTTAATGTGCCTTATGTTTTCTTCAGACCAAATTCAAAGTGAAATTTTCACGTCCCAATTATATAGAAAGATAAAATCAAAGAAGCAAATTGGCACAAATTTATGACAGGTAATGCAAATGAAATCATTTTTGCATAGGGTAAATTCACACTAATGTGCTATGGATTTAGTGTCACCATTATCACAGTTTGTAAGCAGCTAGGCCAGATGATTTCGGTTAACCTTTATACTGATGCATGAAAAAAAAAAGAAAGAGCTTGGAGGAAACTAAGCAAAAATGTTCCCATTAATTTCAGCTGTCAGTTTGTCTCAGGAGGAGAAAGAAATTTTGGGGGTTTTGAAATTAGCCAAAAGATGCCATGTAGCTTTAGCTGCTAATTACACCTCCTTTGACTCATCCACTTTGGCGTACACAGCCAAAATTTTGTAAGCGCTGAGATTACAAATGGAGCTTGTTTGAGTGCTTTGAAGGTTGTGGGGTTCATGTACCCTTTGGTTTATAAAAAAAAGAAAAAAAAGAAGTATATTTGTCGCTAAAGCACACGGCCTGAAACTCATTTTTATGTGTGGCCTTAAACACATCATTGCTTATCTTCACCCATTTGCATTCACCAAAGATGGGAAAATTAAATAAAGAAAGAAAAACCCAACAGATGCTTTATCCTCCCCCTTCACACCAACTTTGGTCTCTGGTTGTGATTTGTTACCATTTACACATACTGTGGTGTGAAAAAGTATTCTTCCCATTCGCTGATTTTTTTCTTCTTTCAAAAACACATTTGTCACGCTTTCATGTTTCAGAGCCTCGAGTTTTAATCTTAGATAAGGACAGCCTGAGGAAATACAAAATGCAGGTTCTAAAATATTTCAATTTTTAAGGACAAAAAGCAGCTATCCAAACCTTCCTGGCCTGGATCGTGCCCATAGATGCCATGTTTGCCCTGTCTTATTGGTGAATCATGCATGCTGACCTGAACTGAGGCAAGTGACGTCTGTAGTTGTTTACATGCAGTTCTTTTATGAACCCCTGAATAAGTCGTTGATGTGCTCTTGGAGTAATTTTGGCAGGATGGCTACTCATGAGAAGGTTCACTATTCCAACCTTTCACCATGGTTCGCTGGATTCCCATAGAAATATCTTTGTAGCCCTTTCCAGACAGACAGACGTCAATGACTTTGTTTTTCATCTGTTCAAGTTTCTTTAGATTGTAGCATGAAGTTTCGCTTTTATTTTTTCTAATATACTTTAATTCACAACTTCCATATCTGGCAGTAAACTCATGAATTATCAAGGGTGGAGGGCAATTCCTTTTCTCTTTTACATAGAGACGTGTAGGTTATAATTGTTTTTTTCCTTTAATAAATGAACTTCATTTTGCACTTACTTGGATATTTAGTAATATTTGTTTGATAATCTGAAACATTTAAGTGTGACGTGTGACATGTTGTGTCCCCCCCAAGAAAAAGGGTGGTACAAATACTTTTTCACAGGACTATAATAAAAAGCAATGTTAAAAAAAACAATAATAAAAACAAAATAATTAGTTTATACAAGCAAGGCTTCAGTCTTTGAGACAAAAAACAAAAAACTTCTGTGTCACTTGTGCACCTCCCTCCCCCCAGATCCCTCAGCAGCAGCAGTCTACTCTCTCTATAGCACCTAGTGCTTTGTCTTTTATGCTACATCGTTTTATATTTTTGTATGGCGAGGGACAGAGAACAGACACTTGACATCATTTCAAAGTAAGTGAAAACAAAAAGGAAACCTCTTAAAAAAAAAAAAAAAAAAAAAAAATCTCCAAAAATATATTTCAAAGTTACACCATCTGATGAAAAGAAAAGGGAGGAAAAAATGATGGGAACACAGAAAAAGTCTGATGGGAATGTTTTGTTGTCATTCTTGTACTTTAGAGTTTCTGGTATAAAGTCTGAGCTGGAGTTTAGGTAGCAGCGGGATCAACCTGAAACTCTGATGTCTCCTACTCCATTTCCTTCCTTCGGTCACTTTTGTTTTCACATTCACAAACATTTAAAACTTCCTTGTGCAAATCAAGCAGTCTTTAGAAAGAATGCCCTCCAAAATTGTTCTTGTAAAAATATATAACTCCAAGGTGGCTGATGTGTGTGTTGCAGCAAATGTTAAAATTGTATCGATGTTCATCAGGTCTGGACACAGGGTTGTTTTGTAATTCAACCAATACCACCACCACCCATTAAGCTTCATAACACCCCCTTTTCTTCTTTATCCTGAAGACGGTAAAATGTGTTGTCCTTCTGGGGGTAGTTGTTTAGCATCGTTGGTTGGGGTTCATCTTCGTCCAGAGGGCATCTGTGCGTAGACAGGGTAGGCGAGGCGCACATTGAGTGAGTCATTGTGCTGCACCAGGGAAGTCTGGTGGTAGTGGAGCACCAGGTCCTTCAGGCTGCTGTAGAGGTTGTATGGCTCAGCAAAGCCAAAGCCACGTGGTGTACTGTAGATGACACAGTGCTTCACCTCCCCTTCCACACTTAGGAGACACACAGGAGAGGTACTTTAGTTAAGACTGTTTTAAGGTTAAAAATTTGTCATTCAATGCTTTCTTTCTGCATTTCCAGTTTCTTCCAGCTAGCTTTGTTCTACTACTAAAGTAAACTCCCAGGGATAAAAAAAATAAAATAAATAAATAATGGAAATCATATCAGTTTTATTATTTTGGTTACATTCAGTATTTTTTCAAATGTTAATTTAGTGTAGTGATTTAAGAGTTTTGAGTCAGTGAACTTGTTGGTTCTGTGAAAAAATGACCTTTTTCATTAATTCTCTCAAACTACTACTTCCCAAGAGGAAGCATCTTATTCAATACTGACATTAAGAAAAATAAACATTTTGGAATCCAACCTTCCTGCTCTCAGGGTTCACTCAGTGTCTAACCAAAGTTTGGGTTGGGGGAAGACAACAGCTAACAACAACACTACTTTAGAAGATCAAATCTCTGCATTTTAAAACACATTTTGTACTTTAACATCCTCCTGCCTCTGGCTCTTCTATCATCTTGTTATAGCATGCTTTTAAACTGGCTTTTACAAAGCTACCATGTTATTGGGTTCAGTCTAAATATATAGACATGGACACATAAGTGGCTTTATTGTAACCATTGACTATAGGTTGCCATGGAAATAGAAAGCAATCAGCATGTAAATCACTGAGTTTTTTCCCCCTCCCACATGCTGTGAATGCATCATTAATCCCCTGTCTGAACTGGAAGATTTTCTACGCGGCACACTTTGCCCACAGTACCAATGGGGGTCAAGACATATCACAATGTATATCGTGTATCGCAATATAGCTAAAAAATATTGTGCATTACATTTTCCTCATATCGCCCACCTCTACCACAGTTTTGTGTCCAAAAATGTTTTTTCGGTTCCCTCAAACGCACACTGTGAATCACAGTGTGCTGCAGACTTAAAAAAGCCCTACCATCATCTTCAATAAAATAATCAGCTTCTTTTCTGAAGCTTTCAAATATTTCGTGGCTTAAAGATGTACTGCAAAAGCATGGTGCTATTGAAAAGCCTGAGAGTAAATACAATTAAAAGTTGTAGCTTTTTTGTAACTTCGATTCTATTTTAACAACTTTTTATGTATATAATACAAATGCCTAATGTTGTTGTTGGCACTGGTGTTCGTCTCAATGTGCAATATTTTGAAAGGTGTCCCAACATTTTGTCCTTGTGTACAAACGAGGAGGACAAAAATGTCACTCTTGACTTCATAAAGTATGGGTATGTAAAGTAAGACGCACATCACTTCAGTCATGTGTTGCATGTACTCACACTACAGAGCAGGCATAGCACCCTTTTTTGCTGCTTTCTCGGATAAGAAAAGCTCCATCTGGCTTCCCCAGGAGCAGCTCCTCTGCCTGTGTCCTGTTCAGATCCCCCACAAACCAGTTCTTCTCATCATAGTGAGGCAAGTTCTCATCTTCCTCACTCACAAAGTAACCTCTGCAACCACATACATATGCAATACATTGAGAAATTGCACCAAAGAAATAATATATTCTGCTCTTTAAATTAACAGTTGCTCTAAGTAAGTAAAGTAACAGTGTTTGGGTTGCAGCAAAGCAAGTAGAGACTCACTCATCTGTGTTCTCATTCTTGATTCCCAGCCAATCATTAATTCGTTTCTGACGAACTCCTTTATGATTGAGCCAGCTAAAGAGAAGTAGAGAGAGAGAGAAGCATTGTTACTGCTAGGAATCGGTTTGAAACTTTGAAATTTGTTTATATTAGAGTGAACCGGCACAAGACTGAAATTGGCAAATGTCCTCACAGAATAATTTGGGATGTTCTGCTGAGAAACTGCTTAACTTGTTCCTGGAAATAAAGCAGGCGCTCTGATATCGAGTTGAACTGGACCTTCCCTAAACTAAAGCAAGTTTCTGATTGAGCCACTTGATGTGCTTTTGGCTCTAGAACTATGATGAGTCAGATTTTCTTTGATGTCCATATGACAATCAATAAAAAAACCAATTATTTCATCGGAAATGATTCCACTGATGTTTGAGTTTTTTTGACCACATCTAATAACTCCCCATTTGACTTTCAAGTGTGTGTAGCTACCCCACAGATGTACAGCATGAACAATATAAACACATGAAAACAGGATCCTGTTCCAGGTCAGTAGGTTTTTAATGCTGACCTGCTTTGACCTGCTTTCTGTACTAATGCCATTGCTCATGTTTTCTCTCGTCTTTGTATGCTTACACTAGATACTGATCCCTGATTTTGCGGAGCTGTATGAGATCAGGCTTTAGGCTGTTCATCTTTTTGTCTGTCTCCCGGTTGTCCATGGCTTGCGTCTTTAGGTCCTGCTCCAGCCGCACCTTGCTGTCGTGGATCTCTCCGAGGCGAGATTTAAGCTTTTCATAGTTCATCATGATGCGCTCAATCTCTTTATCATTGCTCTCACGCCTAAAACGCTCAATGTAGTCCTTGCTGTAGCGCTCCTGCGTGTGGCATTGCTCCTCGAAAATCTTGATGGTTTCATTGAAGGCTTCAATAGCTGTTCGCTTCATCTGGATCTCCTGCAGGACAAAATGAATAGTTGACACACAAAAAAAGCCCCAAAAAACAAACAAACAAACAAACAAAAAACAGACATGCAAAAAAAGCAATGCATTTGTTAGACTAGAGTATGAATATACCTGTGATGTCTTGGTATACTCTTCATATAGTCTGTCATATTCTTTGCTTTTCTCCTGGTACTGATTGTGGTATTCCTGCAACTTCTTCCCCACTGCATCGATGTTGTCCTCCTTCACCAGCTGGTCCTGAGAGTCAGTCGGAGAAAGGAGCATTAGAGACAGAGTGACTTTCAGAAACTGACAAGGAAAAAGCTGGAGAGTAAAATCAAAAGCCATTTGTAATAAAAGGCCAAAAGGAAAAACAAAAATGCACGCACACACACTTATTCCCATTACCCCCGTTCTCCTTACTGAGGGTGACTCCTGAACAGGCTCGTTAATAAACCACCCACAATGCCCCAGGTGTAAGCCCAGGTGGGCATTCTGGCTAATCTTGCATAGTTCTGAGTAATGACTGGCTAAACCTGCCCTTTCATCACTGGTGCGTGCAATTGAGTATGTCATAGGAGCCGGCCGAAAGGGCAACATTTCAGCGTGCAGGTATGTAGCTGCTGCTGCAGTTTAAAGTGGAAACACTAAGAGCAAGTCATTGGGTATAGAGGGAAGATTGTTGGTGGTGTTCAAGAGGATACTGTTTAAAGATTATGAGGAGGGAGTTTACCTGCTGGAAGCGGGAGATGGGGTACATGAGCTTGACATCTAGCTTGGTGTTGTATTGAGCCAGTGACTCATGTCTGTAATGGCTGATGAGCTCCACCACTGAGCTGAAAGTCAGGGGGTCAGAGAAGCCGTACTTCCCATCTCTGTGGTAGATCTTTATCAGCTTGTTATTGCCCCCTTTCCTGAATAACAAACAAAGGCTTAAAGAGACAGGCAATGCATTCTAAAACAGACAGGTTGTCAATTTATATACACGCCTTCAAACATTTGAAGATGTGGCGTACAAATATTTATACACCATAGCTTCTATAACACCTGGGCATGGTATGACTCCAAGGCGGGATCTTTGGTTTTTCCTGACCTGCCCGTGTCAGGTTAATGAAGAAGAAGGAAAAAAAAAAAAAAAAAAAAAAAAAAAAAAAAAATCACATCTTAGCCACCAAACACTCTTTGCTAAACTATGCATCAGAGAATGGCTTCATATTTCCTGCCACCCTGCCCCTAACAAAAAAAACCCAAACAAAAACAAACAAACAAAAAAACAAAAAAAAAAAACCACACTTCAGAAGAGTCTATTTTAGAACTCTTATTATTGACCATTACCCTGAAATGTTAAAGTTCAGCTGATGGTAAAAGCAGAAAGAAGGTGGAACTGAAACACAAGGCTAAAATATGTCACCAGGTTTGAAAAGAAATAATCAAACAAAGTCTAAACAGAGAATTATACTAAATAATTCAAGTTAAAAATGTATTTCCTAAACAAACATACTTATCCTATGCTAGTGTAATGAATTGTTCTGCTGTCAGTTGACATCATTAATAGGTTTTATTCATTTCTGTCTGAAAGTCAAAAGATGAACTAGTTATTAAGATTACATTCAGTCCGAGTTATCAAGGGACACACAGTGAAACAAAACAAAACAAAAAATACACAGAGGTAGAAGAGAATTCGTTTTAAGCATGTATTCTATTCCATCAAAACACACATCAGAGCTCAGTGGGGGGAAAAAAAAAATTACGCTAATTTCTATTCTGTTATAGGCTGGGTAATCTGCTGGGAACAAAAGGATACCATGCACTTTGATGAAAATGAAAATTCTCAGCTTTCAGAGGATGAAAGTAACAAAATAACGCAGTCAGCTTTTTTGCAGCAACTAAAAATGATACCCAGTTTTTATGGCTTCCACGTGCTTGTATGCATGCCTGATAACATCAGGGCATGCTCCGAAATGAGTTGACAGATGGTGTTGGATGGGAACTCTCCTCCTAGATCTGGAGCAGGGCATCATTAAGCTCCTGGACAGTCTGAGGTGCAACCCAGCCACGCTGGATTTAGGTCAGGCTAGCATGACTATGGCATCAATTCCTTCATCCTATAAAATGACTTCAGGTGGCTACTGTTGTGGTTTCGTCCTATATAACTAAAACTGAATTGAATGATATCCTTCAGGAATTGCCACCAAGCTCTTGCCACATGAGGCTGGGTGTTGTCCAGCACCAGGAGGATCCCAGGACCCACTGCACCAGCACAGGGTCCTGGGGGCTTGGACAAGCGGTCCGAGGATTTCATCCTGATGCCAAACGGCACTCAGTGTGCTGTTGCCCACCCAGTGAAGGTCTGTCAATCTCTCCTTAGGTTTGGCTCTTCAGACCATCACTGACCCACCACTAAACTAGTCATGCTGATGTTACAGTCACTCAGGGTGAACCTGCTCTTATCTATGAAAAGCCCAGCTCAGACTCCACAGTGCCAAGCAGTGAAGTCCATTTCTGATTGTTTGGCCAGAGACATTCACACTAATGTCCTCCATGCTCTTAAGATGTTGGGGGAGGCCGCAAACCTAGCAATTGTACACAATGATGTGTCATCCTGGAGGAGTTGGACTCTAACCCTAACCCTCTATAGGGGACTTGGTATCATCTCGTGCTACCAGTAGTCACACTGACACTAGCCAAACAAAAACAATGATTAGAAAAGATGAGGTGGGAAAATATGCCTATAAAACCAGTCTTCTTTTTGGGCATTTCCTCATTGTTGCCTCTCTAGTGCCCCTGTAGTTAATTTCATTCAAATCAACGCAGCTGAAATTGACAAACAACCCCCTCTGCTACTTAAATGACCAAATCAACTTCCCAGAAGCTTAACTGCCTTGACCTTATACTCTGATTAAAGAGTGTTCCTTTCATTTTTTGAACAGTGTATGACCAACCCCCCCCACAAAAAAAACCCAAACCTAAAATTGTCCACTATTACTATGCAATGCTAAAAAACAACAAAAAACAAAATAATAATAACATCAGCATGCTCCGACTATGGCAATACAAGTTTAAAATATGTCCAGAAGGCAGGCAACGCTCTATTATTCTTTATTATCTACAAAGCACTTATAGGAACCATCTCAAGTCTACATTCTTGCAGTTAACTAAAGGATAACAGCATTAAAGTGGATCAGAAGTGCTGCACTACTCTCAAGTTTGTAGAAATCCTTGTGTGGTTTAAAACACATCATTCAGATGCTCTGATATAGACATAAACGTCTGTGTGCAGTGGCCTTACCTTAGCGTTAGCGTGTAGTCGCCTTGCATCTTAGTAGATGCGTCCCGAACCAGGAAAGTCCCATCAGGCATGTCTCTGAGCTTATCATTCACCTCCTCCCTGAAGACAAAATAGAAAAGAGAAACAGAGGAAGGAAAAAAAGGGTGTTTGACTTGGTTGAGTGATCCATGCACAGATGGTGTTCATTTGGAAAAGTCTGCCTTCAATCATCAGTGGCAGGCGAGTAGAACTTTCTTTATAACCACACACCTCAAAGTAAACAATCCGTCAATTAGCAGTGCAGGGAGGGGTGATCCTAGCCAGCAGTGTCTCAGCTGAGGATAAGTACGTGAGTGGCAGACTGACTGTCTGCACTGTAGGTGTGGTTATCACTGTTTGTGGAACAGCTAACCTGCACTTAAAGTAAAGCAGTGACCTTAACAGTAAAGACAATTTACTGAGCTGAGAAATAAACTTGTCAGTTATCTCTGGAGGTTAGAGTATATCGAAGTTTCAAAATATATTGACATACAAAACAAACTAACAAGCAAACCAAAGAAACATAGAATTACACTATATAGTTTACTAATATGATGGTGTATAACATAAAGCATATAAAAAAAACTACTCTATCCTGCAGTCTTTAACTGCTGGAGCCCTACCCCTACTGTCGCTATAGACTTTAAGCTCACTGTCAAAGTTCTCCTGCAGCATAGATGGACAGACAGTGCTGTGATATCTAACAAAGAATAATAACCTGATACTCTGAGTTAAGATTCAATTGATGCTAAACAACATGCTAAACAGGAAATGCTAATTTCAAAGCCACCAGACAACAATGACAAATATAATATTTACCCTAATGAATAATAAGTGTTACTGGTCATTTTGAGACTCTTTAACATGTTGGTAGCTTAGAACCACACAAACATCAATGTCAGACAACTGACCAACTATAACTCCTATTATTTTGTGGTCTGACAACAGGTAAAGCACTGATAATACCCATATTTGCTTTTTTAAGATGTCTAAAATGTGCTGACCATGTCTGCACATAGAACACGCCTTTAGTTTCTGTCAGTGCAGGTCTTGTGTTGCTGGGGGAGGGGCCAAGCCTCCCACATCTGCATTTCATGTAACCTAACAATGTCACTGTTAAGCTCTCACTGATTTTTCTGTCAGTAACACAGTGTTTGCTACCTGGATATGTCACCCCAGTACCATTCGGCCTCTTGTAAGGAGCCTCCCGCTCCTCCATCCTTGGCGACATTGCTGCTGCCCCCTGCCATTGCGACCGAGGAGGGCTGCTGAGGCTTGGTTGGCTTTGGAGGAAGGGCTAGGAAAAAAAACAAAACAAACAAGTATTACAATTACTGTGTGTATAACAGTTCATATGTACATGATATTTGCATACAGTATAACTTGCCCTCAGCCCTGCAGCAAAGTTCAACCATCAGTCTACAGCTGCAGACAGAGTGTTGATCACTTTATCATTTAGAAATACTACTTTGCACAACCATACACAAAAATGTATGGTACCTCGCAGCCTCCTAGGCTACGTTCACACTGCAGGTGAAATCGCATCAAATCCAACTTTTTTTGACCCTATATGCGACCCATATCCGATCATGGTATGACAGTGTGAACGGCACAAATCTGATATTTTCAAATCCGATCTGGGTCACTTTCGTATGTGGTACTGGATCCGATACATATCTGATATTTTAGAAAGCGACTGCTGTTTGAACGATCATGTCGCATTAAATCCGTCTTCTATGTCACTGACACAAGACAGATGCCAATTATCAGCGCCGGAGAAGACATCATGAACCCTTCCTGGCCATCCAGTGTAGATGTTAGTGTAACGTTGGAGAAACGTGAACATTTTATTTGTACTGTATAATCTGCAGATTCTGACAGACATTTCCAACTATCCTTTGAAGCACCGCTCCTCTCTTAAACAGCAATAAGGATAATTATTAGGCCATAAGTAAATAACAAAATAACTTTATAGCTTAAAGCAAAATTGGGAAACCATCAGTCAAACAATACTGTTTGGTCTGGGTCTAAACAGAGCGCGTTGTGTGTGACGTCTTCTTTTGCGGATGCGGGCCGTTTGAGCGTTCACACTAGAGCGCGTTTACTGTCACATTTTATTTGTAGTGTGAACAAGCAGACAGAAAAATCGGATTTGATCCAAAAATCAGAATTGAGCATTAAGACCTGCAGTGTGAACGTAGCCCTAGTAGACACACCTATTGTATCAATTTCAAAATCTGACATCACTGTGTTCGAGTTATTGCATTCATAAGATTTTCCAAAAACTTGACCTGTGAGATTCAAAATCAGCTGATATTTGTAGAAGATCCACCAATGGTATCAATTTGAAATTCCTACATCTCCACGTTCAAAAGTCACCAGATTCGCATTGAATTTTTGATTAAATCCTTAATATGTACACATTCTTTTTATGCAGATGATGCACAGGAACTGTACTCATAACCACACCACATAAACACTGTAGCAGTGCAGCTGGTGACTGTATGGTTATTAATCACAAGTGAAGCGCCCATATATCATAGTAATTATGCCTTATGTCAGAAACCACACACGCAGGTCAACTTTCACGTGAGTGTTCCCGGGGCTCAGCAGGAATGCTGAGGTTTGTTAAATGTGGAAATCCTCATGTTTTCATATCTTCTCCTGTCATTAAATTCATTCTCCTGTTAGGTTTGTAATGGGGAACTCTGGTCCTTCCGCTCGTTTGTTTGTAGCCATTGTCATTGCATCATCAGAGTGTTAAATTTGACTGAGAACTCTAACAGAAACTCTGACTTGCATTCTTCCCATTGTGTTTTGGTTTTCGACGGTTATGAAAATCAAGCTGTATAAACCCATAACTTAAAGGTTTTGCTATAAAAATAGGTTGTTGTCTTGTTATTAAGTGCTTCTTTATAAATGGACCGATTCTTATACATTTTTTACTTTTCTACTTTCCCAGAGCTCTCAAAGCCTTTTATACAACATGTCACAATCACCCATTCACACACATTCATACTCTGATGGATGCATTGGAGACCAACTTGGGGTTAGTGTCTTGCCCAACATATGCAGACTGGGGGAGCCAGGGATCGAATCACCAACCTTTCGATCAGTAGATGGCCTGCTCTACCTCAGGAGCTACAGCCACCCTCATAAATGTTCACTTTTACGTCACTTAAAGAGCTTAGTTCAGTTTGAGTAAAACTAACATAACAGGAGTGCCTTTGGTCAACGGGATCAATCTATAATGTTTCACAAGGTTTAGTCATTAAACAAATTTAAGTATCAAATGGAAATACAAACTGAAGAAAAGTCAATATATTTAACTGATTTTGTGAAATACTATGCAGTCTAACAAAAAAATAAACAAAGACTGAATGCATGAAATAAAGGTTAACATTACTGAGTCTGTTTCAACTTCTGCATTGCAACTTGTGGCGCTAACATGCAACTTCTATGCAAGCCTGGGATTCAAATCTATATTTGATTGCTAAGTGTGAAAAAATGTATTATAGAGAAAACATTTCACCTTGCATGTCAAGTCAAGTAAAACAGTATGACAGTCTGCTCACACACTGACCAGTCAGTCAAACGGGATTGATGGTAGTTTCAGAGCTTTTGGTTTTTGAACACTGATGTTATAAACCAGCGCATATTGTAAAGACCTGTTTGGTGCCATGCTGCATGCTAAACAGAGTTAACCTGACTATGACACATAATACGAAAAACAAAAAAACACATGCAAAAGTTTGCAAGTATCCAAGCACATCTGGACACAATTTAAGGACCAGCAGTGTAATATCTCTCTCTCGCTCTCAACAGAGTACTGATGTGGGAGGTGTCATTTAAAAACAAAGTAACCTGATGAATGTACTGAAATGGAGTGGGCTCCTCCTGCAGAGTGCTCACGTGCCAGAGTCAGCAGCATTTGGGAACACTGTGGCCTCACAAATTACCACAAGACACGCACGCACAGACAGCAGAAACAGACGCTTGAATGTGAGGAAGGGCTGAATAAAACCTGGACTTCTGTGTGCACGTGCACATCACCACTCACTGTCCGTTGAATGCTAACACTCACAGCAGCAAATAGTTACATTGTTAAGTTATTTCTGTTATTTTTAAGCAATCTATAGTTAAAATGTTTATGCTAAATACTACATAGGTAACTTTTGTCCTTAGGTTCGACTGGTGCTGTGTCACTACTATTCCACAATAAGGTTGCTGCTGGAACATTGCAGGACTACAATCACACTTCAAATTAGGTATTACATCAATGACAGCAGCTCACTGGAAAAGAACCATTGGGTATGTTCTGAATTTACTTGGGCTTATAAATGCTGCAACAATCGTTGTTCAGCATTTTTTCCAATATTATTAGAACTATTGTTCATCACAAATTTTCTTGAAATATTGTGATATACCCTCAAAATGATATCACTCACCACTAGGTTGAGGGTGACTAATGTGTTTAATTCATATCTTCTATGGAAAAACAGAAGACATTTTTCCCAGTGCTATGACGACTTAAACCTACAACATTTGCCCACTGGGGGGAGCAGAGCAAGCAAAATGCACAATAATTGATTTGATGCTAATTACAGACATGCTAGTATATCTAACTGACAAGTACAAAAAAAAAAGCCACAGCCACCAATGAAACAATGAAAACAATACTTTGGAGTTATATTTTAATTGTCACATGATAGTAGTGAGAATTCACTACAAAGTGTGTGTGTGGGGGGGGGCAAAAGAGGGGAAGTGACAGCTTGTGCTTATCTATGCAAATGCTTGGTTGCCAATAAACTAACACACTACATTTCAAAGAACAAAAAAAAAGTAGGAACAGTTTACATCCTACAAACTTTTTCTTCACTCTTTATTGTAAGACCACTTAAATAGAGACTGGTAGCCTCTCTTCCTCTCCTGTTCTTTGTTCCCTTCTCACTGACTATTCAACTCTTCTCCCTCCTCTCTCTCATGTCACCATGGCAGTCGGTTAGTGTTGCCAAAACTGTCGTCCTGCAGCTGCACTGTTCCCCTCAGTCAGCACTTTACAGACTAATGCTACACGTGTGTACTTCCAAGGATAGATGGGGTGGAAATTCATGTTATGTTTACATTGAAAAACACATGCACAAGTGAAATAGATCGCAAAAACAGAAAAAAGTAACTGATTTTATAAAGGGTGAAAATCAGAGTCTATGTGTGCTTGCAGTTGTGGACCACACAGAGGGTAGCGTGTAAAAAGCACAGAAGGATCACCACAGCTGCAGTTAGGCAATCTCATTACCAATAAAATTAGTCTTTTCTTGACTTCATTACGTGTGTCCACTTTTCATATGTTACTTGAACACCTCAAACACTGAAGTTACAATGAGATAATCGAATTTCTGTCTTAATACACCAACTACAAAATGCATTTCTACCAAATTAATGACTAAAACAATTTCTGCACCTTTAAGTCTCTCATTACTCCAATACTGTATCTGGTAGTTTCTTAGGACAATGGACACAACAGAAAATAAGCAGTACACAAGCTCCAGATTGCAAAGTTCTATAAGAAAAATTAAGACCAGAGACCTGTAGAAAATCCAAACCTTCTGACAATGATCAGAATTTGTGGGAAATGTGATCTTATGTCCTAAATAAAGAAGAATTATACTAATCGGAGAACAGTCTTAACCACATGGACATATTTGGAAAACGTTCAAAACTGCAAAAAACACGACTTAAAAAAATATGACCAATATAACAGAAACTGCTGAGCCCTTAGTCACAACTACTGCATAGGTCCCTGAGAGGAAGCCAGAGGGACGGTGAACAAAGGGGACCGTAGGTGCAGCCTCCCCCTCACCAAACAAAGGACCAGTGCTCACACATTCACATATGCACAGACACTTCCATATCAGTTGTCATTGTACATGCTGACAGAAGCCTGCAGCTCTCCTAAACAATAACTGTCAGAGTGGACAGACACATGATAAATTCACTTGAGACAAAGAGAACTCAGAGAACATGGGTCTTGGGGCATGTTCAGGAGTGCACACGCCAGCTGATCAGGGAAACAGGGCAGCAAAATTGAGGTTTGACAGATGTGTACCGACACAGGAATTCATACACGACAATGGAATTAATGCACAGCCTACAGTTAAAAACTCAAAGCAGGAAGCATGAATGTGTTGTTCTGAAGCAATCTGCTTTATTTTCACAGCTCTACATCTGGATGAGGTAAGTGTGAGTGTACGCATCTGTTAGATGAATGGAGTCTTTCAGACTATCTAAAGAGGATCC